AAGARGTGCCAATTTGTTCTCACTGGGACAGAAGATAAGGTCAACAYCATGGAAATTTCTCCATTAAATATAGGTATACTATAAACTGGGCTTATTCTGTGCAGATAACAAAGGCCCTGTAGTAAATCAAAACAACAAGTCCACTACCACTGCCCACAACTATCCAAGGTTTTTAAGCTAACGTGCAAGGTATAGATTGCTTTGCAGAGCTTAGTACAGTGATTTGAACACATCAGTCCTCAGCCTTGACATCAGCAGCCTTCAAACTTTGGCCAGACAGATGTGGAGTCTTAATGAGTAGTTCCCATGGCCCACGTGAACCTCTGGTCTCTGGAGAAACTTCAGGCTTGCTCTGAATCAGACTGAATAGTCAGGCTCCGATACCAGGATCTGCAGGACCCAAGCTTAGGGGGCAGGAGGCAACCAGGAATGTTATGAGTATTTGTATGGGAATGGAAACGAGGGGGTGTTAACTGTCTTTTTCTTCATTTCAGTTCATTAATCTTCTACAGCTTTGCTTTATCTTGAAATTGTAGTCACAGTAAGTTTTCAAGGGGGRAATTTGCTATACCAATATGTAGCCTGCCTGTCACGTTGGAGCAAGATAGCACTGCTCCTTGGTGCTGATACTAACATCACTAGAAGCAGATTTAATTCTGCTGTATATATATTTAATTTCCGAGTTAGATTTTCTGATTCAGCTTAAAACCTTAGTCAACTTGAGAGCTTGAATTCTCGTCCTTACATAAAGCACTTGACAGAAGCTTCCTGAGTAACCAAGGATTTCTCCCAAACCACAACTCATATCAAGCCAGCTCATACAAAACTCTTAAAATGTAAAGCGAAGTCAAGCTCTAGGACTAGAATTATTTCTCCCATTGAACATAAGCAGTTCAGGATGTTGCAGACAAAATCAATGAGAAGGGAAGAAGATGCCAGTTCCAAGGGAGCGCAAACTGGAACACCCAAGCAAACATCAGGCATTATAAGCTGCAGTAAATGGAGAGTTTCAAGCTTCTACCTTGCACCTCTTACCTTATTTCCCAACATTTCACCCTGTCAAAGCAGTATGGCCCAAGGGGAGTAAGTTTTACAGTGCCTGAGCTACAGCCAAAGGGGATTTATGTCAGGGAGCAGCCAGAATTTAGCTGCAAAATCCCCAACTTTTTTTTTAAGCTTTCAGAAACAGGTCACCCAGCCTCTACCTGGGAGCTTTACATATTTCAGAATAATCCTTTTCTGAAAACATGAACAACTTGAAAAGCGTATTTTGTCCTTGCTACTGTTTTTGCTGACAGTCCCCAAAGCCTTCGAGCTTCAGCTCTGACCCAACACACTCCACAAGAAACACAGCCGTTTGTCATGCCACAAAAAAACATATCACCGTTTTGGTCCTGGGATAAATAACAGGTCTCCTGGGAGACATGGGGAGACCTCCTGGGCTTAGTTTGTGGCTCCATCAATCTGCAAATGGGAACTGTGCAGTCCTACAGCAGGAGAAAACTGCAGTTCTGCTTGCTCCACTACCTTCAGCACGATAAAGCTAGGAGAAGGTGAATGTAATCCAGCATATTGCTGAAATATGGCAAAAGCTATCCGGGGTCAGAGTAAAATTCACTCTTCCATTGCATTTTATACCAGAAAACAAGKGCCACCTGCTCGGGGACCACAAGAATATAGAGGTCATTGAGGTAGCTTTCCTGATTAGCCTCTCTCCAAGTGGCCCCTTTAGGCCAGATCTTTGTCAAGGTCACACAGAGGGTAGGAACTTCAGCCCTGAAGGGATGCAGCTGGAGAGGCAGAGATGATCTAGGTGATCTAGAAGTGATCTAGTTACAAATTATGACAGAAGAGAGTTTTCTGGCCTGCATTTCCTACCTTCATGAAAGGAACAYGGGCTCTGCCACAATATACACCAAAACAAATAAAATCCCCAAAAACCCAAGTCATCAAATTCCTCCCAAGCAAGGTCAACAGGAGAAGTGCAGGGATAGCACCAACCTATTGGGCCCTGAGGTCTCTATAAAACACACGGAAAAGAAAAGAATCCATGCACGTTCTTGCCTAAACCAAACAAAACAGAGGAGATGCTGACTGGAACCTTACAAGYTTGATTTTGCAACCTCTCTCCTGTCTCACATTCAGGGAAAAAGTTGCCTTCCCCTTGCTCRCCTCCCAAGGAGAGCCTGCAAATCTGCAAGCGCAAATGCTCAGTGACAGATTTACTTAAATCCTTTTGTCATATCTACAACCGTCTGGAAATCATCTAAGATTAACCATAAAAAGCAATTTCTTTTTTTTTTTTTTTTTTGTTTCTTTAATAGCTGTGGAGAAGCTCTTTCCAGATAACGCAAAAATATATTCYAGATAGGACACCASTTTTAATCCAAGCCTGGTGAGCAGCAAGCACATGTGCCCACCAAGCTGCATAACCTGAATGTGGGGATGTCAAGGGCGGCTGTTTCCTAAATCAGCATCGTACCAGGGAATTAGTACAGAACAGATTAAAAGTCCACTCGACCGCCTGTGACTGGAAGTGGAAAAATACTAAGGAGACACTTGAGAAACAGGCAAAGACGAAACTCAGCAATGGTAAAAAAATATTTATACAATGAAAATCATCTAATGTAGCAACACAGAGAACCAGCCTTCAAGCACTGCTAAAACAGCTGCACCTGGATCACCTTGATGGGGAAATAAGGTAACTACAGACCAAGCACCTGTAAATCTTCATCTGTATCACAAAAGATGTTACAAAAACACACAAAACCAGCAATTTACTTGCAGAGCTGCTAAAAATCAAATCAAATCGTCCAGTTCTGCGCTCACCTCTGTATGAGCCATGAGCAACTGCAAAGCTGGGTATCATCTCACACACACAAACCAAAGGCCACTACAAAGCCTTTCCATTTCTTTTCCCATTTCAGGGATTTGTTAATCCTCATTTAAACTACCTGGCCTAAATAAGTTAATTTGGTATTGTCATCTGTTCTTAAAGTGAAATCACGTTAACAAACTTTTTTTTCCCCCACTGTCCTCATAAGACCACTGTCCCACTTGCTTTGGKAAACAGCCAATTAAAAGATCTTTCTTGCTTCTGGGTTTTAATTAATGTGCTTTAGAAATTACTTTAAAAATGTAGGATGTAAGCTATTCATAGAACTGTATCRGAAGAAAACCTACTTTAAATTTTGACATTAAGAGATGAAACCTAGCTGCTTTGATTCAACCCTTGTTCCAGTAACAGCTGGGACAAAATAAATTTATTAGTTCTATGCTTGAATGTGTTAAACATAAAGCATTCAGTAAGGAGATTGCAAAATGTACTATATTAAGACAAGTAAAAACAACACTGTGACTGACATATATTTTGAAGTAATTGTTTTTTTGGAAGATGTATCTAGTGGGACTACATAAATGGACTGGGGATGACATCTACTCTTGCAACACAGCATCTTGCCTAAATTCACAGAATTCCCATCAGATTGCAGAACCAGGTGAGAAATTAAATCACTGAAAAAGATGCTAGACTCTCCTAGAGCAGTAATACAATATCATCATTATGCAGCTTGAGTTTCTCCAAATTTTCAAGCAAGGAGGCATCTTAATTTCTGCAGTTCAGCTTCTTCTTGGTACTCATTTTCTTGGAAATCCTAATTTATAGATAAAACTGTGGAGGATTATCTTGCTAGCTTTGTGAGTTTAAGATCAATAACCATGGTCTTAAGGCAAATACTTATTTTTATAGTTAGGTACCTCATTTCTACATCTATGTTCTTAATTGCTTTTTCTCCCTAGAAACTTAAGGGTGCTTGGAAAAGGTTTGCTGATTTTATACATTTTCCTTAACTCTTGATAAGGAGCTTGGATTTGGTTTTGTGATCAAACCTAATTAAACTACTTTTTTTTTTTTTTTTGTTAGATGTGTGTGTGTGTGTTTTTTTTTCTTTTTTTCTTTTTTTTTTTCAATAAGCAGATTTAACTCATAGCACATTGCATTTGGATGGCCCTTTTCTCTAGATGTGAGCATTTCCATTGCAAGAAAGTTCTTGCGACAGAACAATCTGTTGCTTCATCTATCTATGAGGTGCCTCTTCATAAAAAATATATGACTTCTTCAGATTACGTTTTCTCAAATAAAAAGGCAAAAAGTGACCTGAACTTAAACTTCAGTAGCTTTACTTCTTAAAATTCATGAGAGAGGTGGTAGTTACTACTACACACTGACATTTTTCTATAAGCATATTTATTAGGACCAGCTCACGATGGCAAGGCATATGCAAAACAACCCTACTATAACAAGGGAGGCAATTCCATTCACTTAGAGCACAAATTCTTCTTTTTTTTTTTTTTTTAAATGAAGACTAATTAGAAACCTGCTACTAATGAGATCCTTGCTTATAACCAAGTAGACCTGACACAGCTCCATAAGGACTTTCAAATATCTCGACGTATACTAAGTTTGCCCTTCTCTGCTGCAATCCCTATGGGAGAAGTGGTTCCCTTATCCTAAAAGTCATTCTCACACCTTCAAGTATGATAATGCCCTCCAAAATATGTCCTCCTTGACCCAATACATCATTAGGATGGGCCAAAGCATTCAAATAACAAAACCTAACATAGCTATTGTATCCCACATGCATTCAGACCAAATCACGCCTCCTTCATAGAGCCTGCCCATCAGGCTCCTCAGGAGAAGACCTGGAGACATGTTCCCAGCATGGGAACCATGTAGGAAAGATCTCCCTTCTGCAAAACCCAGGAGACTTTTGTTTCGGTTCCCAAAACCCCATTAAGAACATATTAAACCCCTTGCAAAATGGAGTCGTTTTGGCACCGTTGCCTCTATTCCCGGGCACAATCAGACATAATTGGGAACAACCAGACATAACCGGGAACAACGTTGTGGAGTGTGGTTCCTTCTGAGAGGAGCCTGCATATTGTTACCAGAAGGCTTCCAGCCCATGAACTCATTAGATTGCAAAATGARGAGCACTTACCTCTTCAAGGACATCTGCAAGCTTACTAAGTATCTCTTCAGGAAGGCTCTGGAATGTGGGAACACTGCAACACAAGAGAACCCTTGATTACTGAATATCTTTATGTACTTCCCAAAGCCAGTTGCACTTCATATATATTTCATGCACACGTTACCCTTGTTGCTAAAGGCTTGTCAAACGTTTACCATAAAAGCAGCACCGATAATGGAAACCTCATCATCTTGTTCCACCTAAGATGTGTTTTTAAGCGTCACTTGCTATGACGAGAGGCCTCTTGTGATAAACACCCGGAGAACCCTCCATTAAGCTGGGGGGTTTGAGAACCTCTTAAGGTTTTATACTAGGATTCATCTGTGCTGCAAACGTGCTTGGCTGCCCAGGGGCCTGTGCAAAATTTTCCCACCCCAGTTCCATTACACCAGGAAAACAAAACCAAAATAATCCCCAAAACACGAAAGGAGATTGGATCTAATATGCAATAGATAAAGCCCTGACTGAATCCATATCTAGATAGAGCTAAGGCAGAAGACAGAGCCACAGAGGGTACAGACGCAGCAAGAAAAGAGCACTGAACTACTGCTAGAATTACTGAAGAGTTTATCGGGAGTTTTACATCCAAGATTTGTTTTCTTTGGGCAAAAGGGAGATTTTTTTTTTTTCTATTTTCTTTTTCTCTATAGTCTTGGCAAAAATTTCCCAGGCCAGACTTGACTCTCTGGTCAAGGAGCAAGAGGAATGCAAAACTCATCCAGGACACCAGAGAGAGATTTAATTCAACCTGAGGCAGGAGGGATGGGGATCTGAATTTGGCCCTCCCAATCTTGGGGCAAGAACTCCAATCTCTAAATCATTAGTGAACCTTGTTTTCTTAATTCCTATTTCCCATAAAATCTTGACTTCCATCAATGGTCTCAAGGCTCAGTCTGATGCTGAATGAACCAACATAGAGACACAACGTACTCTGCATAGGCAGGAAAGCAGTGCTGAACCTGCTTTAATTAAAAATGCCTATCATCAGCTAGCTAATGAGCGATGTATCTGCATGACATATTAGCCCAAATGTAGCACTGAGCAAATACAGCTCCGCTGAGTCTATTCCAGGAACAGCTCACTCAGCAGCACCTTTATCACACTCCATTACCTGGTGTCAACATCATCTTGCACCTCCAAATTTAAATTTAGGTCCTACAATGCCACGTCCTAATTTCAAGAGTATTGATTACCAGGCCCAAAGCGGTGGGATTTCCTAGAGGAGGGCTAAATGCAATCCCAAATAAATCCGATTTTCTCTCTTAGGTGAGGCTTCAGATTTTGGGGTTTGTGGCTGGGGACAAGCAAAAAAGAAATCCCTGGGGCATGGATGGAGTATTGATAGGCAGAATTAAAGTGAGATTTATTTCTATTAGCTTAAAACTGACATGTACTATGATACAGTAGAATCAATAATTCGGAAGGCTCCGTTATTTAATAAACATGGTTTTCATTTAATGTACCAATTAATAATCAAGACAGAACKGGCCAATTAGGCAGAAAAATGAGATCATTCACTTCCTTTTTATGTTAGAAATTACTATATAACTCAAATGTGTGAGAAACAGGGAAAGGGCAAGTGAGCTATAGCACATATGGATTACATGTATTATATTCTACATGTACCATATGCATGAATTATGAAATCATACAGTTGAAAAGTTAGGGTATTAAACCAATTTSTCCTAAATAGAAAAATTTACAGCTTTAACATAGCAATAGAATGGATATAATCAGAAAAACAACCCACTGACAAGCGCCACCAGATAACGTCACTAAGCTACAAAATTAACATCACAGATTTATGGCAATTTATGAAGGGCCATAAATATCCTTCTGAAAGAGCAAACAGCCACTAGCCTATTAAAAAATGCTAAAAACTCAAGCTGAACTGATGCCAATCCTGACAGAAGAACAAGAGTTGAAAAAAATGCCTTCGTGTACAGCATAGCATTGGGTGGTCAGCCTGATACCCCAGTTAAATAAAAAAATATACCCTTATTCTCTCCATGACAACCTTAAATAGGCTCTTAAAATAGATTCTTACTTTCCCCCCATTGTATTATTTAAAGATTTGCCTATGAAGATCAGTATTTTGAAGACTGTTTTCATGTGGGTATCTCAATTTGCATGAAAATCAAGATCTGATGAGCAATCTGCTGCAAATGAAAAAAATAAAACCTAGAAAGTCAAGCAGGAGGGCAGAAGATTCAAAAGCAAGAAATCACATTTCAAGATTTTACAGCACGGTAAGAGATAAAATGTATATACATACATATATATTCTCTTTTCAACGATTTTATGGAATTGAAGTCTGAGAAATGACATAAAACAGAATGGCAGCTGTTTGTGTTTGGAGATATCCTTTGCTTATGATGGAAGACCTCACAGAAAATAGGGCTCAGTCTCATCAAGAAACGATTTACTCTGTCTCCTGGACTCAAAAGCGTGTTCAAGGGAACCCAGTTTCCAAGTTATGGAATAAAGCCGGCACTGGTGACATGAGGAGGCATTTCAGGTCCAGAGGGACATCTAAGTCCATGAAACCCAGGTAGGAGGAGGAGGTGCTGACCTTTAGACTGAAATGTCACCATCTGAGATGCTGTCATGGACAGGATCACCTGTAGGGATTTCTGCTTGGTTAGTTGCTTCCTTGTTCAAAACTGCACAAGGAAATGGATTTTTTAAAGCAAATGCCAATAAACTCCTTTTTTCCCCCCCTCTCACTTTTTAAAATCAATCCACAAATAACTGCTAAGCTTTATTGCAAAAGGCGATTGAAGTAACAGGTCTGAACAGTGCTTTCACAGCTGTCATAGGTAACAGGATGAAGAGCAAGATTTCTTCAGTCACTCCGTCCCAAGCTTACGTAGACTTCCCTTAGAGCTTGGAATGGAAACCTGAACTAGCTCACGTGTTATGAGCTGCTCCAGCTGGTGAGAAGAGACAGCTTTTTGTTTCCTAGGCTCCACACTATTCACAATATACACAATATTTTGCACATGGTGACGGCCCCTATACCTTCTGAGGGCACCGTGGCGCTAAGCCTGGGGTGACCTGGTGTATCTGGAMAAGAAGTACTTGGAGCTGCTGGGAGGAAAACTGGCTGCCAGAAGCGRTTGGCAATGCCACACATCAACACTGTGCAGCGGGGAGTATGCCAAGATGCTGGGAAGAATAAGATTTCAGAGAAGATGATCAGAAGATCATCTCCTTTGAATGGTGACAGAAACCACAAGCGGTGGCCTGCTCAAGCAATCCCTGCTCGAGAGAGGCAAACCTGTTTTTCTTTTCATGATTGCACTGAAATACCAGTTCCTCTATCCTTTCACACTAGTGGGTGTTCTTTGAAGGATAAACAATATCTTCTCCCCAAACATAGTGCCTACCACACATACCGCATAAAACAGGCAGAAAATAAGCTCAGAAAGAGTATATTTAGTTCTCCAGAAGCTCGACGCTTACTCTATTACCAATGCAGTTGATAACTCCAGGCTAGTTTTCCTGAAGCAATTTCCTGGACGTTGTGCTTAGCTTAAAGGGTATTAGAGATGAAAGAAGAAAGAGATGGAGAGCGACATTCCCTCACACTCGCATTAATTATACTTCATCTGGCCTCTAAATCAACTCAAGTAATGCCATTTTTCAGGAAAAAAGAGAACACATTTGCTCCACAATTGCTGCAGATGACCCATCTGCTGGGCTGAAGCTACAAAGGCATTAAAATAATTTGCAATCGCTCAACTCGGAGAGGTTGAAAATGTCGCATCCACAGTTTTAAAGCTCTGCAAATTAGTTTTGGCCATTTCCCTTCAAATCGCCACAGAGATGGACACACTGAACCAGCAGACTCTACTTTTCCTGGGGTGAGTTAATGCGGTTGGACACCTCGTTTTGGTCTGCAGACTGYGAATGTTTAATAGGCTCCTCAGGTATTCTTTTATTCCCTCATCTGTCACTCCCAATCCTTCCTTGACAGCAGTCCATTCTCAAAGACAGCCCTCCTACTGTATCTCATTTTGCAGTCACTGGGGAGACCATGCAATTAAATAAATATAAAAATATATATGTAAAGTTGCTGTCAAAATGTTTGCAGGCACAGAAACCCACTCTCCCATTGCATATGCATCTACTCTCTAATCATTACTAATCACTCGCTCAGAGAGAGCTGTAAATGCTCAGGAACAAAAGCAACCTTGGAAACATCAAGAAACTTGAAGCACGTGCATTTCTGTKTTACTTGATTCATGGCAGAGGATTTGCACCACCTTGAGTAGTCTATGGAGACCAGACTTTGGTGCAGGAGAGATAGTACCTTTTGAGAACACTGTGTCATTTTTATTTCTGCTAGAGCAGTTGGCATTCCTTTATATTTGCAAATCAAATGATAACTACAGACCTAAGAGAAAACTTCCAYATCTCACAACTCCTCCATCTTCTCCAAAATTATTCCACAGGCTATTGAAAGTCAAGACACATCCCAAGAAGCCTCACACCCTATATGTTTTATTTCTTTGATCCTACATTTGCAATATGGCCCAAACGCATTTCCAAACATGCATTTCCAATGTATTTCCAAATTTCACAATATGGTCCAAATTGCATGGYAATTACTTTTTGCAAGACATTTATTTGTCAAGACAGCTTACCATCAATGAGTTTTCTTATCAAGCTTTTTTCCCCCCACTTTTTTTCTGAGAGATGCTGTAGGAAACAAGGACATCTCTCAGATGTCCTGGCTCTGAAGAAAATCATGAAGCATCTAGTGCCTAGGTGGGCTACTCAGTATGATGGACCAACAAACGGACCAACAAATGCATCACTGCAGTAATGGGAAGGAAGCCAAACTCTCACAGACACCAGGAGCTCATAAAAGATGCAAATACCAAAAAGAGACGTTTGTCGCTGCTTCTTGAGCTGTGCCTGAAAACAGATCTTTAAATGGTGATTAGGGYTTTGCACACAACGTTGCCCAAGAGCTCGCAGAAGTGACAAGCGATGCTTGCGTGCACGGTCCACTTTGTCATCTTGCTG